TTTTTTGAATATGTCAATGCTGTTGTTAGGAAATGCTTCTTCTAATTATGTGGTTATTAAATAAATAATTTAAAAAATTATGGTTGGGTCTGTGTTTCTCCTACTAAGTTATTTGTCCCTTAAAGATGAGGACTATGTATGATCCATATTTTCTTTTATTCCCACTCCTGAGGGAGTCATGGGCCAGTATTACAGGTGCTCATAGTTGGTTAAATTGGATTGAACAAAATTATTTCATGATGAAATAAATTATAATTTTTTCACTGAAAAATTAAGCTCTGACAAGCACATACTTCATGCTATGAATGATTTTAAGTGAATACACATGAAGAAAGTAAGTTGAGACTTTCTGAGTCTTGTTTCAGATCTGAAGGTCAGGAGTCACGGCCGAATGGCAAGTGTGCTGTGTAACCCTTCCCCTGCTCCAGCACACATTGCTGGTTGCTGCCAGCCCAGAAGTGGCTTCAAACAGGCCTCTTAGCAGACAGGACAATGTGACCAGAGACACCATCAACAACTCTTCATCTCAAACCTGGTCCATTTTCATGAATGAAGGAAAATGTCTTCTGAGTAATTAGTTCAGGTCAATTCATGCTCAGCTCAGAAGCTCCCCTTGCTCTGTTCTGCTCTGTTTTGTTTTACACACTGGCACTGGTAAGTTCTCAGTAGTCCTTTACCTGCACAAAGGGAGCGATGTGACACTAAATGTCGAGCATGTGCTGCCTGACTGCACGACTGACACTCAAGCTGGCTTCTGGTCAACAATGTTGTTCATATCTCTATAAAGTTTGAGTTGAAATGGTATTTTGCAGCTCCCACAGTTGCGTCACCCTTCCTGCCCTCCAGTACCACTTGACTTAGCACCTTTATGCCCGTCCCTGGCTGAACACTCCCAGCTCTTCTAATGTGACCACCTGGCAAAGGAAACTGGTTTAAAATACATAGCACTTGACCATGAAACTTCCATGGAACTCAAGATGTCAGTGAAGGAAACTTCTGGTTAAAACAGTAGCAAAGGATTAAGTCCAAGAGTCATTTCCTTCTATCCTGATGGGAACTTCCTTTATGAGGTGCTCAGGTTTGGGGTCACTTGAGACTGGCTGCCTTCAGTATTAAGTCAGAGAAGAAAAGAAGGGTTTGGGGCTTGCCCAGCACACACTTCACAGTTTGTTGTTTATGCAAAGTGGAATTCCAACCTAACCAGTCATCAGCTAGCTTTGCAGAGTAATCTACATCCTGGGCTTATTTCCCAAAGGCTTTTGTAAATCCTTTGAATATTCAGATGGACACCATTCCCTTACCATTTTCCTGTAGTTTATGAACCTAGATTAATGAGTTCTTGGTATGTGGTATTTCTGGGATAACACTCTACCGCACAGTAACTTTTTCCATTTATATATGTAAAACACACACTTCATCCTCATATACAAATGTCAGCTTAGAAGTTGGGCCGACTTTGATGATGAGGGGAGACAGCAAGTGTTCTTTGGTGATGTAAAATATAGTGAAATGAAAAGGTTTCATGTCCCTTTATCTATCATCACATAAAGCATGTAGAAATGACCTTTAACATGTTAAATCTCACCACAAATGGGGATGCTGATTAGAATCCAACCTTACATGCTGAATAAATAGCTACTTCCCACTGTGAAAAATCAGTTACCTGAAAGAGAGAGAGAGAGAGAGATCTGCCCCTTTAGGATAATTTTCACACACAAAAAGAAAAATCTAAAATAAACCCTAAACTTTATGTTGAGAGATTATTATAATTTGTGAGTACTTTTTGTTAACTATATTAAGTATAGGCTGTTTTCTATGATAACATGATAGTGACCACTAAATTTAAATATATGGTAATAACTAATGCTGTAAACAAATTCAGTGCGTATGATCCTCTGAAAGAATTTACACATTATCATAATTTGCAAAAACAGATGAGTTTTACAAATCTGTAGACTCTTCCTAAGATCTATTTTTCATGCAATTTTGTTTCCAGGTTTTGAAATATTTATAATACTTAATGATAAATTTCTGCACTTTTCATTTGACAATAACTTTGGAGTCAAATGAAGAGTTTCAAATATACATTTTAAAAATGTCTCGTCTGAGGCTTTGAGCCAGGATCCAACATACCGATTGCACATAAGGGTGTGGAGTAACTAATGACAACTACTCACTCCCACCCACACAGCGCTTCGAGCTTTCCTGCATTGCCCTGTAGGCTAAAATCAAGATTCCCACCGACAGACTCGATTTAGGTTTCAGGCCACAAATGCAGTTAAATGTAGCTGCGTAAAACAGTCCATAGCCGAAATAATTTCTCCTTTTAAAAATAATATTGAGACGGTGTTTTATATATTCCAGGGCTGGCCTCAAACTCCTTATAGAGTTGAGAATGACCTTGAACCTGCCTCTATCTCCTGAGTACCACCATGCCTGGTTTATGCAATATGGAGGATCAAATCCAGGGCTTCATGCTTGATAGGTGAGTGCTCTACCAACTGAGCTGCATCCCCATATCTAAAGAGAATGTTCTTTTTCTTCTCTATTTCTTTTAATTTAATTTAAAATGTTAAGCTGGTAATGCACTTGTCTGCTCTAGGAGCCAGAAGACATAAGGCTGCTTAGCAAATAGTCTCTTGGCAGGCACCTGCGCCCTTCTACCCCACTCTGTCAGAGTCAACTGCTTTTCTTAGGTTCTCATATAACCTTCCAGAATTTATGCAAATAAAAAAACATAAATTCTGTTTTCCTCCCCCTTTAAACCAGTGGATTATTAAACAAGCTACTGCATAAAAGAGCCTCTTAAACACTGACATTTTTTCCACTACAGAAATATTCTTTGTACAAGGCCCTCCCTCCTCCAGATTGTCTGGCTTCAACGTGGTGATGCAGCAGTGTCCTGTGCAACCAGCTTCTCTACTGAACACAGTCTTCCTTCTGCTCTTGGGGTGAGCTGAAAGCTGCATGGTGTTCCTCTCCAGCTTGGTGTTTGGCCTTGGTTAGTGTTCTTTCTGTAATACAGTGTTCTCTGGGCAACCTCTATGTTCCACTGAAATAGATTTGGTCAGTAATGTGAGATCGGTGAGTAGAACAGCTGTTGCCTGTTCACATTATTTGTCAGATCTCAGGGACTCCCATGACCTAATAGCAGCCAGTGGAAAGTTGGAGCCAAACCTTCTCTGGAAAGGGCTGTGAAGGAACCAGACCCCTGGTGCACATGCCTTTGAAAGGCATGGCTCAGGACTTAGCTGCTATCCATGGAGACAACAGGACTTCACAAAGCACCATCACAAACTTACTCCTTCAGTTCACTTCCCTCTACTCAAGATTTCATATTTCTCTAATATTTGTGCTCAGTGTCAGGGCCAGGAAGCTGCAACTGGGCACTGAAAAAGGTGAAGTGCCAGCAAAGTGATCACCAACAGCTTTGGTTCTTGCTTGGGTGGTGGGTACTCCATCCATTGAGGGAAAGGATGATTATGAAAAGGGCATATCTGGTACAGGTGTTATAAACTAAATTAGAATCGGTTAATGTTTTCTAGAAAAGGCAGCAGTCCCAAGAAGGGGCACTAACCGCACACAGAAATCTTTTCCCAGAGGTGGGTTTACCGGGGATGAATGAGGCTTAGGTTTCAGGGTCCCTGTTTGGTATGACGTTGAGCCCACTTAATACTATAAGGTCCTACTGCTTTTTGTGAAGAGTTCCCCCCCAAATTGCAGAAGCTTCTTGCTCCACAAACCTGGACTTGACCCTGTTTATTGCCACAGACAATGGTCAGTTATGTACACACTGATTATCTACATTTCTGCTCAGTCACGCAAGCCTTGCGGGTGCCTTTCCCCAGTGAGTCATCTCTTCAGCCCATTTTCTTAGATGAACGATTTTCTTAGTTGCCCTCTGGTTCTTTTGTTTTCATATTTATTTTTCACTGAGAGTTCAAGGGGAGACTTTCTGTGAAATTTTTCACTTGTCCTTTCCTAGAGAACTTAGGATAAAAAATGAGTTTCAGTGACTGGTGGCCCGCATCAGGTGAAAGGGAGCGGCCCCTCCAAGCACAGAAGGGGTAAAGGGACTAGAGGAGGCTCTTCCAGGAAGTGCATGGCCTCCCAAGCCTTCGAGACAGACAATATTTCAAAGCCGCAAGTGAAGGAGTTAGAGGTCAAGTATGTTACTTCTCAACTCAATTCGGAAGGATAACTGAAAAATACTTCTATTTTTTAGTTCAACTGGAACTTAAGAGCCATCAGTTTAGTTACCTTACATTTTGGTGGGGGAATTTTTTTAATTTTCCATTTGTTTTTAAATCATTCCTTTTCTAGCTCAACAAAGCACATTAAAGAGTTTAACTTCCAAAGCTAAATTCTGCTTCTGTGAAATGCTATCATTGGTTTGAAAACATCATCATAAATATGGCTGGGGTTTTGTTCTAGTTGGTACCTATTTAAAAAACAGATATGCCGGGTGTGGTGGCACACGGCTTTATTCCCAGCATTCCAGGAGGCTGAGGCAGTCAGATCTCTGTGAGTTCAAGGCCAGCCTGGTCTACATAGTGAGTTCTATCTAGGCCAGCTGTGGCTACAGGGAAACCTTGTCTCAAACACCCCCTCAAAAAAACCAAAGCCAGATACACGCTTAGCAAATGGATATTTCTCTCCCAGAGGTTTCTCTGTACCCTTTTGAAAGTTATCTTTAAAAGTAAGGAAAAAGGTAGAGCTTGGTGACAGGCTCCTGTAATTTTACTACTCCAGAGTCTAAGGCAGGAGGATCACGAGTTCAGGGGCGGGTGCTGGGAATTGAAATCAGGTCCTCTGCAAGTGCTGCCAGTGCTCTTAACCACTGAGCCATCTCTCCAGCCCCGACCCTTTACTATTTTGAAAGCATGTACAAACATAGATGCCTTTATCAATTCTTGCATATTGCTAGTTCAATGTGTTTTTACTGGAGGTAAACTTCACTTGGATGATGCATTTTATTGGTTTTCACAGAGAGAACGTACCATGTGAGACGAGGTTCTGGCCAGCCTGCTACAGAGCAGTGTAGTTTTACATTCTCTTTCTCCCAAACTGTGTGAGAACGAGGTTTAATGATAAACTCAGGAGCATGTAGTAGATGGTCTTCATTCAACTTTCCATGGTACGCCTGAGTTTCTTCTAACTGAAAAACAAGAAGCAAATAGCCAAACATTGTCATCATACTATTAAGTTAAAGTTACTTCTAGTGCTGAAATAACAGACAGAAACCAACATTTTATACTTTACTTTTTTTAAGACATGGTCTCATGTAGCCTAGGCTAGCCTTGAACTCAGTATCTGCTATAGCCAATGATGACTTTGAACTTCTGATCCTCCTGATTCCACCTCTCCAGTGCTAGAATTAGAGGAGTCCACCACCACATCTGGCTTGATGTGTATTAGGCAAGCACTACCAACTGAGATATATCCCCTGACCTAAATTTTACATTTTGATCTTTATTTTTGCAGTTAGGTAAAAGCCATTCTTTTCCCTGCTTTTAAAAACAAGTGTGGTTATTTAACATTCTAAGCTTAAGCAACATCACTACAGAGCCTTTCTAAAGCTGCTTTAGAAACTTAATTTCTGTCAAATCTGAATTTCTGTGAAGTTTAAAATTATAAAATTTGCCTTTTTCGGCCTATGCATTTTGATGTCTTTTCTCCTTGTTTCCTTTAGCTTTGTTTCCTTAATAGGCCATATATTTCTTCCCTTGAAATAAATCAGTCAACATCTGTATACACATATGCACACATAACTTGTTACATACATCTCTACTTTAGGTAGCATTAAATTATCTCTCCTTACTGTTTTTCTCAGTGACAACTGTTCTGCTTTTTCTCGAAGTGCAACTTTTCTTGACTTCTTCTCAAAAATTTCTTCCTGCTGATGGGTGGATGTGGCCTGTTTGGACACTTTGGACTGTTTGGATGCTGTCGACTGCTTGGAGGCTGTGATCGCTTCCTCACTTGCAAGAAGAGTCCTCTGGGCTATGTACGCAGCAGCTTCTTTGATTCTCTCTTCTTCCGTGTTTGTAATTCCACCCACATGCATTTGCCTGAAACACAGTAAGAGCACAGTAAGGGCCATCGTAATTGGTAATGCATGTTTGCCTAGTTTTGCTAAGCTCTGACACTTCCTGTGCCCAAGAAAGCCTGCGACTGAAAAATCTGCTAAGGGATAGAGAAATGGCTCAGCAGTTAAGAGCACTGGCTGCTCTTACAGAGGACCCGGGTTCAATTCCCAGCACTCACATGGTGGCTAACAACCATCTGTAACTCCAGTTCCAGGGGAATCTGATGCCCTCTTCTGACCTCTGTGGGCATTGTATGACATGGGTGCACTTGCACACACACAGACAATACACTCATAAACATAAAATAAAAAATTAAAAAAAATTTTAAAAACCTGGTAAATCAGAATCTAATAACTGCACTGTATAGAAGTGGTTGCCTTAAATAATGACAAGAATGACAAGAGTGACAATGTTTATTAAGGCTCTGATGTTTTTACGTATAGTATCTCATCCCATCCAAATAAAACCCAAGGAGGTAAACACCATCCTATTTTAGATATATGGTAACAAGGCTCGGAGAAGTCAGGTAAATTGCCCAAGCAAGTTTCACTAGTCAACGTAGTATGTTTACATACGATTACATTTATAATAAAAGATGAAGCTATGATTTTCTTTCCAGAGGATATTGTAGAATAAAATACAGTTCATATATCTGTGATCCTGATACATGACTACATGCTTGATCTGGATTGTATAACTCTACTGCAGGGCATTGCCCAGACCTGTTGCACAAATATGTTCTAAACACACATGAGACTCTTGTGCATCCTCGTTTCTAAGATCATAAAGGATTTACCTATATGGGTATATGTGTGTGCTCAATAACCTTCATTTATGCTTGTATATAACCCTGATGAGAAGAAATGACCAAACTTGCAATTATTTGTAATTGATGGTGATGGAGATGAGGGTCATATCCAAAAGTGCCGTACTTAATATGGTAGGTATGACAGAATTTGCGTGGTGATTTATTAATGTTGTTAAAAATATTCAGATTATTTTTGGCCTCCTTCAATGCCTTTGTTATACACTTTGTCAGATATTCCTAGAGACAACTGATTATATTGAAGTTTCTCTTGAAAGTGAGTCTCTTTAGACTCAAGTCAGAATTGTACATTCAGTTTTTCATAGAGGGATTACTTCAAAATTTAAGCCATTGTGTTTTAGATACCCAGCACCTGAATCTAAGCAGTTTTACCAAGAAACAGAACTTATCATTTCCCCACATTTGACATTTTTCTTGTGAAATTATTAAAAAGTATCATAAATATGATTAGCCCACTTTGTTTCTAACTAAACTTAGTGAATACATTTTAACTTTTTTCCTAGCTCTCTAAGTACTATCAGGGTAGTTCATTATAGGAGACTTAATGATATGTACATTTTAATTTGGTAGTTAGGAAAGAAAGATGGAAGATTTTTAGCTTAGTGTCCTGAAATAATTATTTAAAATATTTTCTTTGCAATGAAATAGGGAACAATGGATTAATAAGTGAAAACAAACCATCAAAGAAATGTGCTTGGGATTCTCCACAGAGGTCAATGTCCAGCACAGAGATTTGAAACGAACTTTGTAATGCAATTCAGTATGTATGGCAAGGAATCATTTGCAACACTAGTCTTTCCCCACCTGAGAGAACCCTAACTGAGAGAGCTTGAAGTTAAGCTGCCATTACCTTAACTATGAGCATGTTGGCACAGCCCAGCAGACAGAAGAAAGTCAAAGTTCATCTGTATCATTTTTAAAAAATTACATTTACTTCTTTACTTATTTATTTATTTAGTGGTATGTGTGTGTGTGTGTGTGTGTGCGTGTGCACACATGTGTACACCATGACACATGTGTGGAGGTCAGAGGACAACCTGTGAGAGTTGTTTTTTTCCTTTACCAGGTAGAGCACAGGGATCAAACTCAAGTTGGGCCTGGCAATGCCTTTACCAGCTAAGCCATCTCGCCAATCCTATTCGTATTTTTTCATACATAAGTAAAGTAAAATTTAAAATCCTATAATTAGGAGCTGGAGAGATGGCTCAGAGGTTAAGAGCACTGGCTGCTCTTGCTGAAGAGGACCTGGGTTCAGTTCCCAGAATCCTCATGGGTGGCTAACAACTGTCTGTAACTCTAGTTCTAGGGGTTCTATGCCCTCATAGGGAAAGTTAAGGGAGATGTTAGGAATAGGAAGCTTCATTTTGTGCCTAAACGGGCAGCAAGGCATGTCACACAGACTAAGTTGACATGATTTTTCAATGGTTTGGGGGAGAGAGGTGTTAGGGACGAAATCTGGGACCATGAGCATACTAAACATGCACACTGAGTTACACTCCCAGCTCTTTAGATGATCTTTAAAAAAACACAGTTGGTGGGACTGGAGAACTGGCTCAATGGTTAAGAGCATTGGCTGCTCTTGCAGAGGACCCTGGGTTTGCGGTACCCACATGGTGGCTAACAACTATCCATAGCTCCAGTTCCAGGGGATCAGATGCCCTCTTCTGACCTCCATGGGAATTGCATGAAATGGGTGCACTCACATTCATGCAAGCAACACACTCATTCACATAAAATAAAAAATAATAAATAAAATATTTTTAAAAAACAGAGTTGGGAGGAGACCAGAAGACAAAAGATACCACTCTCTAGCCTCTCCATCTCATGTTATGCATACAAGTGTAACCTATGTGTTAGAGCTAAATATGGGCAGGCATAATTAGCACAATCAGCATGTTTCTCTGGAAAGTTCACTGGAAAAAAATTAGGATAGGAGATAAAAAATGAAAAACTCAGTGTTATCTATCTCCTTACCTTCCTAATTGGGCTCAGAGAAAATATAGTATGATCCTCTGAAACAAGTCAGGAAGGAACTATGGGAGAGCAGTGGTTGGAAAAACCACATTCAACTGAAGGATGTTGCCAATATCCCAGCCAGGCTCCTGACTCTCCAGGAGCAGCCACTCCCTGCAAAATCTGCTTTAAGAAGACGAGTATTTTTGAACATCAGCTTGCTGCAGGATCAGCTCTCAGTTCAACGGAAAACAAATGGGAAGCTCCAGAAAGCTCCTGTTCTGCTTTAAACTTGGTTTCTCCAACAAGTTTCCTTTCAAAATTCCATTCAGCATTGTTATTTTATTATTTATATTATTATATTTATATTTTTATGTATATCAGTGTTTTGCCTACATGTATGTAAGTGTACCATGTGCATGCAAACCTGCAAAGGTCAGAAGAGTGTGTCAGATCATTTGGAACTGGAGTTACAGACAGTTACTGGTCACCGTGTGGGTGCTGAGAACTAAGCCTGGGTCCTCTGCAAGAGCAGACAGTGCTCTTAACCGGAGTCGTCTCTCCAGCTGCTCCTTTGAATACTATTACCACTCAGAAAAAGTTTACCTTATCAAGATGGAGATTTGGCATCATATAAACTTGTGATTCAGTGATTACTTTGAAGTTTGTCTAGAAATAGATAGCAATCTATTTTCCACTGGATAAATAAAAAAATAGATATTCAAATTATTAATTTACCCCTAATGAATACTGACTAAAATCACACTGAAAATCAAAACATTTTTCACCTCCCTAAATATATCATCTGGGTTTTGTTTTTAGTCATTGAACATTTTATAGTTTGAGGTGTTTTAAACATAAATTTAAAAAATTATTAGTAGCACGTATTAATAAAGTAATGAACTTCACTGTTGACATTTCATAAATACATACAGCATACTTTGGTCATATTCACACCTCTGCTATCCTTTATATCCCTTATCTTCCCCTCCCACATCTTTAATTACACCCTTTGACTCTCCATAGTTTTGAACCTTTCTTTTTACCTGTATCTAACAACTATATATAGCATTTGGTAACTCACATCCAAAGCTCTATTTCCCATGTCTGTTAGTCAGATAAGAAGCACATGTTCTGACCATTCTCTTTTGTCCTGTCCTATGCATACACAAATTTCTGAAAAGAAAACCCATTGTTTTATTTATTGAGCACATAATTCTCAGTGTAGGGTTAAGACCCTTTTTATCCAATATGTAGTGACTGCTCAATAAATGGTGGTTACTAGTGACTCCTCATTTATAATAATCAAAGGCAAGAAGACAGAGCACACTCACCGCCCTGAGAAAATAGGCACCATGTAGTCGCCTGACAGGTTTTCTTTGTCCTTTCCAGACAGAAGGCTCGGTTTGGCTCTCTTGGGTTTGGGGCTCATCTTGGATGAATAATCTTCTAAAAGCAGACTGGAATCTGTAAGTCTAAAATAAGACCCCTGACATTAGACAGTAACAAAAGTACACTGAAGACAAGTGCTGACAAAAGAAAGGTTTAATTTAAGGGATTTTTTCAAGAACCTTAGACATCTATTTTTATTATCTTTTATCTTTAGAATTGGAGTTGTAAAGATGTCATATAAATACACGCTAGATAGACACTTAAGAAAAATAGCAGTAGTGATTTTGCAACCTTTTTCCCCTTACATTTTCAAGGGAAAAAGAGGCATATTTATATTTCTAAATATCCTTTGTGATTATATTAGTGTTTGAAATTTAGTTACATTAGTGTTTGAACACATGTTTTTGTTTGTTTACTTTTACAGTGTTTAGGATCAAACCCAAGGCCTTGAGCATGGTAGGGAAATACATTAATGGTTTTTGATATATTTTGTATGCAAATCTGTGAGTAGTAACTCCGGGGGAAAATTGAGATCATTCAAACCTTGACCATTGCCCAGTGTCTAAAACCCATTTGGAAAAGCAAAGAGAAGTACCTGCACCAAAACAGAACACGGCCCCAAGTACACACAGAACAAAATGGATAATGGATAATGCAAGAAAGCAGGTCCAAAGCACTAAGGGCTCAAGGACTTGCAGGGTGCACAGGGGTTCTGTTTCTGAGTATGTACCAATCCTGACATGTACAGATCTGTGTGTGTATTTTACCTATTAAAGCTGTTGTTCAGGCAGGGTGTGCTGCTGTCATTGATCCTCTGGACTGTCAAATGGAAGTGGCAAACTTCGTCTCTCAGTCTGCCACCCCAGGGCAAGTGTCTAGCTCATTTCTATGGAGCAGCATTAAACTAAAGGTTAGAATCTGGAAGTTGGGCTTGGAGATTGCTAACCAATTGGAAGCCAGAGTGAAATTTGTCCTTAGCTGAGTGTACCAGCAAAAGGGCTACATTCTATACCCCCAGGTCACAAAGTACAGGCTGTGCTTATACAGGGCTAAGTTTAAAGTGGTATTTTCCTCCACCCCTTTATTCCATTACTGTACAGAATAAACCATAAGATGCAGTGACTTATTGTCTCCTTACTCTGAGAACAGCAGGGTTTTTTCATTACTCTTCTATTCCTCTATTTTTACTCTATTCATTTTTCTTTCATTCTTGTTTCTACAGTGAAATTTTATAAATTCATTTTTCAATGCTTGATTACAACAAAATTTATAATATTCCATTTCTGGTGTTTGCTCCTTTTTTTCTAATTTTTCCTGTAAAAATTTTGAAAATATTGAAAATTTTAAAATTTATTTTTATTTTAGGTGTATGACTGTTTTGTCTGCTTGTATATAAGTATACCAGTGTTGTGCAATGCCTGTGGAGGTCAGAAGAAGGCACTGGATCCTTTGGAACTGGAGTTAAGGACAGTTGTTAACTGCCATATAGATGCTGGAAACCAAACCCAGGTTCTCAGCAAGAGCAGCCACTGCTCTTAACTGTTGAGCCATCTCTCCGGCCTCAGGACCTTGTTTTTTACAGATACAGAATACAAAGCTTAGAGTCTTTGTAACTTGCTCATGTTAACACAGTAAGCTGGTAGTTAAAGTAGGATTAACATAAAAGTCTTCCTGATTTTCAGGTTAGCATTAATTCTATTATAATATTTATTGGTCTCCAACTTTGTGTACTCTTCATCAAAAAATATTAATTTGGAGCCAGGCATGGTGGGACATCCTTTTAATTCCAGCACTCAGGAATTGGTGAGATCATCAGCCTGGTCTACATAGCAAGTTCCAGGTAAGCTGAGGTTACAGGGAGACCCTGTCTCAAAAACAAAATTAATTCACACATATATTGTTTATAAGCTCTCTGCATATACAGCTATGTAGTCTCACTTGATGAAACACTGAATTGTTAGGAAAAACTTAAAGACCAAATTCAATTGAAAGACAAAAAGAAGTGTTAGTAGTTCTCCCTCTGTCTTCCTGATTTGACTTATGGACTCCCCATTTCAGAATACTCTGTCACACTGCCCATGATGACTCTGATTTTCTGTTATTGAAACAGATATTGGGGTTATAAAATCATCACAGTCCATATAAAAACAAAATCTAAACATTTATTAAACAACATAAGCTAAAATATAGTCACTTAAAATTATATTTGTAATCATCACATGATTTGGGGAAATTATTCCAGTTTCCCCCAATGGGTAAATATGAGTATACATCATGACTATGTTACTGTCTGAAATCATTCTGACAACTATCATCCATATCAGAAAGAAGGGTGCAGTGGGGACATTCTTTTTGCTACCATTGCTTCCAGACTCAACATCACCATCTTTACATGCTCACAGTTCACTGCATTATTATCTTCTCTGTTTTTCCTACTGCCCCAGTTTCCTTTGGAACCTCAGCACTGTTGTATCCATGCTTGACTGCTGTTCAATAAATGCCTATTGATTGATGTGGAATCAAGATTCCTCCCCCCCCCCAGTAATCATATCCACCTCAATGATTCTGAATCCCGCTTTTACATCAGAATCAGCAGAAGAGGGTGGAGGTGGGCAGATGGCTCAGTTGATAAAGTGCTTGCCATGCAAGGACCTGAGTTCAATTCCCAGAATCCACATAAAAAGTCCAGGCATGTGGCAAGATATGCCCACTGGTGCAATAGTGGCACAGATATTATGGGAGTAACCAACCACTCTCTAACTGGATTTTAAGGTCTGCTTCATAAGATGGAGCCCATACCTGACATTGGTATCAGGCTTAGGAACCTGAGGATAGACAAGTCACAGGACATTGGGGAGAACCTAATACTAGTTACTAGTTTTCTACTAGTTATTCTATTAAATTGATTCCTAAAGCCTTATTGTTATACCCATGGATTGATTCATCTCTCAATTCTCACCAGAGAAGTTTCCTTATACGGTACATGGTTATTAACACAGAAACCCACAACTGTGGCTGGAGAGATGGTTTAGTGGTTAAGAGCATTGACTGCTCTTGCAGAGGACCAGGGATTGATTCCCAGCACCCATATGGCAGATAACAACTGTCTGTAACTCCAATTCCAGGGATGGGATCTGATGCCTTCTTCTGACCTGTGTGAGCACTGCATGACATGGGTACACTTACACACATGCAGGCAATACACTCATGCATAAAATAAAAGTAATAAAATATTAAAAAAAGAAACCTACAACTGGCCAATATGCAGAGAACAAGAAGCTATAGAGTATTTATCCTGATAGGACATATATCAAATTTCTGCTCCCCAAGGCTTAGATCATTGTGGAACAGAGGCAGAAAGATTTTAAGAGCCAGAGGTAGAGGTGGTGGATGACCACAAAGAAACAGAATTTTTCAGACAGCTGGTCAGTTTCTCATATGAACTCACAACAACGGTGACAGCATGCACAAATTCCATGTAAGCTTAAACCAGACAAAATCCCTACATAGACATGGGGAAGTGGGTGAGAAACTCCAACCCAACTTAAGGAAATTTTGGCAACCAATGGCTCCTGGGAGGGGGAGAGATAGTCTTTCAACGATGGGATTCTTGGTAGATTGACCAGGGTCCAGTAGATGGACCCATATTGAAGGACGTTTGGGGACACAAACTAGACTCTACAGGCCTCTATCGATTGATTGATTAAGGCCTATATATAGGCACATCTCATATATATACATATACATATATATATATATAATTAGAGTACATTAATTGGGATGGTATAATAAAGATAGGCTCAAATAAAGGGGGAATCTAAGTACCATCAAATTATGTTGTATGAAAGTTGCAAAAATTCAATAAAAAACAATGCATAATGTTTTTTTTTTTTAAAAAAAGCCAGTCATGATGACATATGCTTTTACTCTCAGAGCTGGGAAAGCCTAGTCTAATTAAAGATGAGAGACCCCATCTCATAAACTAAGGTAGACAGCACTGAGAACAACATGTGATTAACTTCTGGCCTCTACATACATGCACTTGTGTGCACAGGCGCACACACACACACACACACACACACACACACACACACGATCAATGCATATGCAGGACTCCCAGGATTCCCAGGACAGGATTTCCTGTTCAAAGAGCAATGATTAAACAGGACATGTCATCAAAAACTCAGAGCTCTGAAGTCAGTCAGAGAGGCATACAGTACACTGAGAAGTGACTCTTCATTTTAAAAAATTCATTTCACATATGAGTCTGTGGCGTTTTTGCCTCGGCTTCTCCAATCCCTATCTCTAAGCTCGGTCCCTAAAGCAGTTCTCCATGTTCACAGCCAGACGATGCTGACCTGATTCGAAGCAAAACACACCCAGGAACATAGTGAGTAAAAATAGTGATCTAAGTGGAAAACTGCAAGGAAGGACCATCAGCTCAGCTAGCCTGGAGTTGTAATCTCAGTAGGGAAGCAGAAAACTGGCAGACCAGCCAGAAATCCAATGGAAAGACATGGATAATGAGACAACTAGGGAGTCTTTGTGTGCTCTTTACATACATGTTGTGTGGGTATTTCTTGCAAATTCAAACATCTCCCATGAGAGGAGCTCATGAGACTCAGGAAGCTAGTGATTAAACTCACAAGGGTCAGGAAGCCAGGGAAACTTACCACACACAGGAAAATCAAAAATTTCCAAGCATGTTTCACAGAATCTACTGGTCAAAAAATAATCTATTGGTTAGAAAGTATGCTTGACTACAGGAAAGCAAGGATACAAATATTAAGTTTTATGGGATACAGCTAAAGCAGTGCTTACAAGGAAGTTTATAGCTTTAAATGTCTTTATTAGGAAAGGAGAAATATCTATAAGGTGTGTGTGTGTGTGTGTGTGTGTGTGTGTGTGTGTGTGTGATATTAAAGGAAACCAGGCCTGGAGGTGCCAAGTCTCCCAGCTACCTGGGAAGCTAAAGCAGGAGAATTACAAGTTTAAGACCTGATCAGGCAACTTAGTAACATCCCACCTCAAAAGGTAAAAAAAGAGGGCTGGGGGTAAAGTTCAGAGGTAGAATAAGGCCTAT